AGTGCATTTGGTTTGAGGCATGTCAGAGTCTCTCCTGGGGATAACGAGCCCGGTACATATCCATTTCTTTGTTAAACTGACGAACTCATATAGGCTTGCAGCATCCAGCTGGCATAACGGGACACTGCAAAATGGAGGTTCCTAGGGTTGTGTCTGGGACCGGAGATATTGGCTAGTGTCATTTGGTTGCACAATCTAAGGAGCAGCTTACATGCCAGAGGCTGTGTGTGTGTGAAGAGCCCAGAAGTGGAAGTTCTCACAGCACAGCAGGGGTAAGGCTGGCTCACAGAGTCAAGGATTGGAGTGACCTAGCAGATCACCAGTCCAGATAACACCAGAGGGGAATATCACAGGCAGGTCTTATAAGGTATCATTTTAAATCTCAATTTGCTAGTCAAGATTGTTCTGATAAAATTGCAGCAATACTCTGTAAAGTTACAAGATTTCCCTGTATGATTTTAACACTGTGTGTTCCAAACCCCACAGCCCTGCCCAAGCAGAAGTCAGCAAACAGGTCTGCCCTAGGCAAAGAAATGTGTGCTCTGCTTAATTTGCATTTAAGCAGCAAATAGAGTCATCAAGTAGGAAGGGAAACAAAGAAAGCTCAAACAGGTGTAGAAGGTGTCTGAAACGGAAGTGTCTGAATAATTATTTGAGATAATAAACTGCCAAATTAGTCCCTTTAAGAAATAACAGACTTTAAATATTTTGTACTCTCTAGGTGAGGGCTGGGCAGAATAGGACATACATTTCTGGCAGGGAAATCTGGTACTGGGGATGTTAGGATCACCCTGCAAAATAACCAATGCTGGTGAGAGCTAGAGCGTAACCCAGGTGTGGCTGGGAGACTGCAACTACAAAGACACTCAGCTTGTGGCTTGGGTGGTGGAAGGCTGTTTGTGAGTGCCTGAGGTGGGAGCTACTTCACCAAGGCAGGGGTGACCCTGCTGCCCATTAGTCTGGATTGTACTGTGGTATATTATAAATTCCTAAAGCAACTCTTTTAGAAAAACTTCTAATCTTGATTTTAAAATAGTCAGGGATGAAGAGTTTACCATGACCTTTGGTAAATTGTTCCAATGGCTAATTACTTTCACCATTAAAAACATATGCCTTATATGCAGTCTGAAAGCAGGTCAGCTAACCTGAGTTAAGAACCCATTTATTTATTTTTTATTGCAGTGTAGATACAGCTGGTCTGTGTGTGTGTTCCTTGGCCACCCTGCCAGCTCTTGCTGACACTGTGAGCAACTTCTGGGCACTCACTCAATTGCCACCCTTTTCTAGGCCCAGGGTCCTCTAGCGTGTTGTCTTTTATCTTTCTCTTCTCACCTTGACAAGACAGCTAGGGCACCAGAGGAGTCGCGTCTTCAGGACCATAAGCCTGACTATCATGTTTGTGTATTTGTTGGGATGCTCCTTATTTAGAGCATTGATTTACCTTTCCTGCTTGGTTCCCCTGACAATCCCTTTTGACCTAACTCCACAACAAATAACCTATTATGAACGCACATAGACATGCAGCATATTAATAAAAAATACAGGTAAGTTCATCACACACAGTAATGCTGAGCATACCAGCCTCATGCCCCTCCCCTCTGTTTCCAGCAAACGTCTCTGCCAGAGAGATATTCTTGTTTACATGTTGCTTTGAAGAGACAAAGATTGTCTATTAGGTTGAGATCTAACTTTAGGTTTCCACAGATACTGTAGGTGATGGGTTCTCTATAAAAGCCTAGACAAGCTAGGTTCCATTTCTCTTCTGATTCCCTACGTTAGGCTGCTGTTCAGTAACTACACATTGGCTTAGACACAGTTTAAGGAGAATATTTATTCACTGATTTAAGGTCTGATGCTGCAATCATGAGTATGGCAGTTTTGGAGCACAGTCTGGGAAGTGAACATCTCTCTTTAATGTGTGACCTGTCATAGTAATACTTTAACATGGTGTTTCTAATGGGAGCAGTACTGAAAATTATAAGATGAAAGGTATTCAAAATAGGTTTCACCATTTAAAATAAAAGAATTTGATAGATGTTCAGAAAGGAAACAACTTATTGCACAAATTGCAATATCTTTTCTGCTTGAAAGGAGGACAGTCTTGTGGTTAAGAACTAGACTGAGATGGAGACAGTCTAGGTTCAGTTTCCAGCACAGGCACAGACTACATGTGTGACAGTGGACAAGTGAATCACTTCATACCTCAGTTCCCAAACTGAAGTGGGAATAGTAATACCGTTGTAATTCACAGGAGTGCTGTGAGATTAATTTGTTTGTGTTCTGAGGTGTGCAGATACTATGGTAATAGGCATTGTACGGGGCGGGGGGAGAGGGGGCATCTCCAGTCAGGCCAAGGGAGCCACAAGTGGGGAGAAGGCAAATTCCATGCCTACCTTGGTTTGCAGTTGGGGGGAGGGGGTACGGGGGAAATGCCCAGGTAGGTCCTTATAAGTAACAAGATATATAATGCTTATACACCCTGGTTTATTGTATGAGCATCATGAATGGGTTCAATATTTATTTTTAAAAGAGGGAGGGGTAAACACATTCAGTTTTCCTAGGGAAGAAACTCACTCAGTTGTCTTTATTTTACAAGAAGCTAAATAGATCACATTCCAGGGAAATACTGCAGAGATGCGGCCCATATAAATATTTGTTAACAACAGGAGAGTTACACACACTGTACTGAACACTGAAAATTCCTCCAAATTAAGAGGATTGGGACTTGCTTGCCTTATTTGTTCTACTCCTATCATACACAAAAACAGATGTTCCAAATAGACATTTCTCCCTTTCAACTGCTACTTAAGTTTCTCTCTCAATAGTATCAGATCACCCCATGAGAGAAGATGCGTGAAAGAAATATCAATTAATGGGATCAGCCAGGCAACCTTGGCTCCATTAGCAAGTCTTATATCAAGAGTCTCAGGCCAGCCTCCACAGGTTAAGGCTACAGTTTTCTTCAAGCAGTGGCTGGTTCCTCCTTATGCTAAGATAAAAGGAAGACACAGAAGCAGAGCCTGAAGAGTTAATCCTGAAGAACACTGTCTTATTCCCTTGTTTGATGGAGAAGAACCTAACATATATGGACTGCAGGTTTTATAAAGCAGGGGCTCAAAGAGGATGCCTTCCATGATTCTCTACTATTTCAGGATCCCTAACATTATATTAGATTTATATAATTCCTATTTTGTTTTTCAAATAAATAAATACAATCCATAGTTATCTGGCTTGCAGAAATTGCAAAGTCTTTGCTCTGTAGGGGATAGACTTGTAGAGCTTACAAGATTCAGAACCAGCCAGGGTATACTTAACTAGCTGCATATACACACTTTACAACATAAAATGTTTTATTGTTCTTACTCCATATTAAGTTTTAAACTGATAAAAAATTGTGAAAAATAATTGCATTTTAGAAGCTTAGCAGTAACACTGTTCCATTAGGATTATTTAAGTGCAAAGCTGCAACTTTCAATGTTCAGATTTTTAGAAATAGATACACACAAAAAAACAAGCCCCCCAAACCAAAAATCCCTCAAAGGCAGTCACATTGCAAAAACAGGAAAAAGTCTATTTTCCCAAAATTTTATAACTCCAACTGCACAAAACAGCTCCAAGCATTTGTGCACACACACTCATCTCGAGGACAACAAAAAGCATTGACAGTTTCAGCCAAAAGTGAGAAAGGTTTTTTGAGGGGAGAGAAAGGGGAAGACTATTAAGATGAATTTAGAAAGGGGTTGCATAGAAGCATTACAGAACCTTAACAGGAACTCAACTTCTGGGGTGAAAGGAGGCAGCAGCAGCAAGTGCACAGCAAGAGGAGGGTAACTTTTGCTCAAGAACACAGCTACAAGCACCTAGTCTTCTAAAATTACTGCAATCTTCAGGGTCCACATAGGGCAGGCAGGATCTTGTTTTAATGGCTTGTTGCTTATCCCCGCTCTTCCTCCCGCCCCCCCAAAAAAACACCCTGCAAGGCACTCTTTCTAACGACACAAGGCCAATTAATTAGAGCACTCAAAGGCTGCCACACGTTTATCTACAAATATAATCTATCCTTGCATATCTACTAAGTGTCACACACTGGACATGACACTCACACAGACAGCTCCATGCCTGTCCTTGCCTATCTGCATACTTCCTGGAATTTCGTACATGCAGCAAGTTTTTCCTATCGCTTCTCCTCCCTGCTATCCGGATTTGTTGTGGTGCTGGGTCTGCAGGCAGCCTCTCCATGCTAGCTCTCAGCCCATGTGGAGCGGCGGGCAGTAAAGCAGGAGCAGCATGCTGTCCCTGGCATGGGACAGGAGCTTCGGCTGGTGGGGGGGGGGGGGGGAGAATGGAAGTGACGAGGTAGAGCAGTGGCTGTTCCAGATCACCACCAACCCTCACAGGCACTGTAGGCACACCCCAGACTCTCTCCCAGCTCTCCCTGGCACCTCCTAGGCTGCTTCGGGCGATTCCCCCCCGACCCCATGACAGCACCCTTCCCACAAGCTACTTCAGGCTCACTCCCCCACTCCGATGAACGCATCCGATGAAGTGAGCTGTAGCTCAGGAAAGCTCATGCTCAAATAAATTGGTTAGTCTCTAAGGTGCCACAAGTACTCCTTTTCTTTTTGCGGATACAGACTAACACGGCTGCTACTCTGAATCCCCCACTCCAGCCTCCCCTTCCTGGGCTACTGGGCTTTCCCTGCCAGTAACAAGCCCCGTCCAGGCCCCAGGCTTCCTCCCCGCTCCTAGTCCCTGGCCCCAGGGCTCCTCACCCCCAACCTGCCGCCCGCTGCCTCCCGGTCCGGCTCCCGCAACCGCCCGGCGCGCGGGGAAGCCGGCTCCGCGCCCGTGTGTCCCTGGGCAGGGCTCACGGGAACTTTGGAAACGTTTCCCGGACCGAGCAGCGGGCGAGCGGAACCGCCGGCCCCCACCGCCCCCGAGCAGGCAGGGGATCCCTGAAGCGCCCCGACCCCGAGGCGAGCCCGGCCCCGCGACCGCACCTTGCCTCCTGCCGACAGACATGGCCCCACACGCAGCTCCGGCCGCGGCACAAGGCCCTGACAGCGCGCCCCAGGCTTCCGCCCTTCCAGCTCCCTCTCCAGCCGGCCGCGCCCACCCCCGGCCGGGGACGGCGCCCATTGGCGCTGCCGGCGGAGGGGCGGCCCCCGCCCGGGGCGCAGAGCGGACCTTCCTGGCATGGCGGCTGCGTCCGGACGGCCCCCGCGCCGCGCCTGCCGCGCTCCGGCCGGGGAGCGCGGCTGCGCAGAGCGCGCGCGCCGTGTGGAGAGCGGGGTTTGACAGCTGCAAGCTCAGCAGCAGCCCCGGCGGCAGCAGCGCATGGCTCGCGCGAGGGGAATAGCAAGCGCTGCAATGCCCCAGCGTGTGTGACCGCTGCGAGGGGGGGAAATGTTATACACACCCCGCTCCTCCTCCGCCACCTCCTGCCCGGGCTTCCCCCTCACTTGACCCGCCAGCCCAACATGCAACCCGGCACCTGCTAAATCAATAATGTACTAGAATGTCAGCGCTGAAAAAGGTAAGGACACGGTGATGGGTATCTTCTGTCTCATGCCGGTGAGTGCCCCAGGCTGGGGGCACTGCTGCTCCCAGGCTAATGTAGCCTCTGCAGGCGGGAGACCGGGGGCACGGTGGCCAAGGATATGCAGGACTTGGGGTGTCAGCATGAAGAGACGGGAGTGAAACGACTGGGCTGAGCGTGGATCTTGGGCTGCAAAGTCTGACAGACTCTTGTTAAAAACCATGAGAAGTGCAGCTGCTGAGCGCGTTTGGGGGCGAGGGTACAGCTGCTGCTGGGCTTGTTTTGTGGACGCAGCTAAATCCTGTTGGAATCGTGGGGGCGGTGTGGCTGTTGGGGGTGGAGTGCATCGGGGGTTTCTTGTGGCATTCTGGTCTTAGCAGGAGCTGCTTTGCTGCTGTCGGGTTGGGCGGGAGGCATCTGCAGCTGTGCCTCAGGAGAGCAACGTTAGAGAGCGGCAGCAGGTGCTAGCAGGGTTGTTGCAGGTCCTAGGGATGGGGCTGCTTCTGTTAGGTATCGGCGTGAGGGTTGCAAGAGAGGGTCTTTCTCGTTGCACTGCCTGGGGGCGCATCAGCTGCTGAGCACCGCTGGGATGTTGGGTTTGAGCAGCTGCTGCTGGGGTTGATGGTTGTCGCTACGCTCCCTCGGGTCCCAGCACTTCTGTGCTGATGAGGATGCAGCTGATTTTGGGGGCTGCCGCTGCGAAGCTCACGGGGCTGCCGCCGCCGCTGGGTGTCCAAGGTGCTGACCGGCGGCACAGGGTGTGAAACCGTCAGCTGCGGCTCTTCTTCCAGAAGGCAAGAGACGGTGACAATTGCGCTTTTTGGCCCCGCGTGCAAAAGTGGAAGCCCTACAGCTGACTGGAGCGTGAAACAGGGGTTGAGGGGATTTGCGATTAAAAGAAGCATTGCACAAAATGCGCGCGCGCGCCATGCCTGATAGAAACACACAGAGAACATGTTAAACGTGTATGTTACAGACTGACCAGCCCGGGGACGGGGGGGAGAGGGGGCTCCTCCTCCCGGATTTATATTCATGCAGTAGGGCAGAGTAAGGCTTTTGGCTGGAATGGAGAATTGGTGTGTGGGAAGGGGGACACCGTGCATCTGATTTCTTTGCCTGGAAGGGACGAAAGTGCTGTAAGCGAGGATGGTGGGTTTTCACAGACCATCATTGTAAGGGTTGCTATGTGAGGCTGAAACCAGAGAAAAGGCTGGTGTAACCAAGCCGCCTCCTCCACGTCCTCTCGGTGGTGTACTGCACTGGCGGCGGTTCTCAAAGGGACCAGCAATGAGCATTAGTCCCGGGGCAACGGCTTGGAGGTGGGGGGATGCTGGGGTGTGTGTGATTATCCTGTGTGCGGAGGTAACTGATAACTGGCTCAGCCCTGAACAGGGGGTACCATGGTGAGGGCTGCGCAGGGTGCTGCTAAAGGGAAAGGAGGGGCAGGGAAGGGGCTTGGAGGGAGTTTGGATTTGGCGAAAAAGGGGAGATCCATTTCCCTTGCTTGGATAGCTGAGTCCGGACGCTTTTCAGGAAATGGAACCGAGATGCTGCTGGCATTGTCCCTTGCCTGGAGCTGGGAAGCTGCCTGTTGTGGAGGGTAACTCTGGCTTTGAGGGGCGGTTGGCTTGATCAGTGCAGTCTGCATCTTGTATAGGAGACCAAATAAGGCTAAGGCAATAAATCATATTGCTTGTGTCTTATCAATGTAGCCAACTTGGGTAAGGTGAAGAAGCTCCAGTGACTTCCTCCATCTTTCTAAACAGGGAGATAAAAGGAGGGGCGGAGGGGACCCATAGGTCGAAATTATATCCCAGATAGGTGAGAGTAGCAGCCGTGTTAGTCTGTATCCGCAAAAAGAAAAGGAGTACCTGTGGCACCTCAGAGGCTAACAAATTTATTTGAGCATAAGCTTTCGTGAGCTACAGCTCACTAGTGACCAGAAAATATTGAGGATTGCTTTTCAGAAAGGCATGTTAAGTGCCTTTGTGGCAACCAAAATCACTTAAGCACTTGGCATTTTCATGCAGCTGCATTTGATGTACTAAACACGTTATGTACAGTACACTAAGTATTAAAAAAATTAATAATTTCACTACACTCTTTGTGGTGGGGAATCAATTACAAACTAGCATGTCTAATTACTTTGTGGAATAAAGGATTGAACACCTCTCTAGAAATCCTCTAGGGAGATAGAACCACACCCACACTCTCCCCGTACTGTAACAAAGTCAGATCTAATCTCTACATAGGAATATCATGACTGGAAAGTTATAAAATACTTCTAATATGCCCCCCCCCATATCTTTCGTTGCTCTTGGAAACTAGTAGATTATATAAGGCTTGTAAAGAGGAAGAGCCAATAGTCATAGCAGTTCAGCCTGTTGCCTTGATGCTAAAATGAAGAAGTCATTAATCAGGATTTTCTATCAGCCAAATTGTCCTGTGGTGGCTGCTGGTGACTAAGGCTGTGTTAGCAATTGCGACAGATTTCAGTGTGTTTTGTTGCATTTTCTATTTCATGACGATTTAGATAGTGAATTTCAGATGGTGTGATCTCATCTTTAGATGCAGAGAACAGATTAAAATTTTGTATGCACCAAGTACATATTGGAGGATGAGGGGAAAAGGAGGAGTATAATAACAATTTGTAGGTATTCAAATCTTTCATCTCAGAAATAGTAATAATTACCCCCCCCATCATTTTACCAAGACCAATATGTTCAGTAACATCAGTTATGCAAAATTCAGCTGAATAATATGCCAGCAAAAGCATAAAGAACTCCTAATTTGCACCTCTTTAAAAAAAGCTTCCCAGAGCCATTTTCTCCTCAACCCTCCTCTTATCCCTTGTAACTCTGAGGGGTTAGGATCAAATGGATGGTGAAGTTTTTCCACTCCAGTTGGATCCTTAGCACCCATACAGAGTCCCTCCTGACATGGGTAGTCCCATTAACTTCAATGGAAATACTGCTTTTGAATAAGGCTTTGCAGGATTAGGACTTTAAATTGTTTGTTTAAAGTTTAAACAATCCTAATATCAATTTTAGACCAAATCTAGTCATTCTGATTCAACGGGGAAATCTCACTATGCAAAGATGAATATATACATATCAAAAATTAGTCAAGATGATGAGACTATGTTTTATTTCTTTCATTGTCCAGGTTTTGACAGACTTTGCAATCTAATGATTTTACTATTAGGGCCCTGATTTTTTTCAGTTGTAATTTGTGTATTCTTATCCGTAAGCTCATTTTATATGTGTGTCTATCTTCAAGTGCATTATACATACAACTAGTGGCATTTTCCCCCTACTATTATAAATTCTTTTTTAACTCAGACATTAATTATGTCCTTTTTGCAGTTTGTTTCCATTTGTATTTTACTACATCACAGGTTTAAATTGGTTTACTATGTCTTGGAAGCAAGTGATAGTTGACACACTTCCAAATTAAAACAAAATCATGTGTTCCACTAAACTTGAATCAGTCTTGATTGTGTATACCCAGGAACAAGACTATCAAACTGAAGTGCTCTTTAATTGATGGTGTGTTTCATCTATATTTCTCTGGAAGTTATAATGCTGCAAAACTGGAGAACTGACAAAATCTGAAGAAATCCAATACTTCAGATCATCTACATAGGGTGACCAGATAGCAAGTGTGAAAAATCAGGATGGGGGGGAGTAATAGTTGCTTATATAAGACAAAGCCTTTAATATTTGGACATCTGGTCACCCTGTCTATGTAGATTATGACTAGAAGTATGAACACTTCTACACCAGGGCTTTTCTTGAACATGTGAAGGAGCCCAACTGTAGATTACTGACAACCCTGGTGTGGGTTATTTTTTTCCTAGGGTGGTGTGAGCTTAATTCTTTGTACTGTGTCCTGCAATACACCATGGGAGTACATTAGCTGTAAAGGATTGATTTTAAGAAATGATTCTAGATGTGCTGCAGATGTTGAAATTATTTTCTAATGCAAATATATTCAAGATACCTAATGTACGCTATCAATTTCCATTCAGTATTTGTGTTCTCTCTGGAAAGTTATTAGGACAAAACGGGGGTAGTAGAAGATTTCCATTTTTTGTACTTTCAGAGCTCAGCAATTATACATAAAGAAAAACCTATTAAAAAGTCATTCCACATGGAGTAAACAAAGTATTTAGTTTCATGAATGCAATTTTATATTTTTCCAGCTGCATTATTTTTAAAAAGATCAACCAGATTTTATTACTTTTTCTTTTAAAAGGGATTTTGTTGTTTTTAGTCATGAATCATTTTGTATGCTCTTGAAGATATCTGGTTTGTCGTTTAAAATTGTATCAGATTATGTTAATGATTTTATGACTGAGTGTTATGCACTGGAGAGTTAATTCTGAGTGTTATATTCAGAGCCTGTGTGATCCTAGAATAAAGAATACATTTATTATGTCTGCATAATTTAACTAAACAAAAAATAAAGGCTAGATCTGTCAAATGTAGTTGATTCTATTTGAGATTTTTTTTAGCATTTTTCCTTAGTGCTATAAAATGCTATTTGCATGCACTTTTCAAGCAATATACCTAATTTCCATTAGGAAAAAAATGTAGGAAATACTTATTGACTAGCTTCTTATAATTTGTAGTCCTACTTTGCAGATTATTTAAATATCTAGTGTAATTTTAAACTACATTTACAGTGAAACCTTTTTTAAATAAGCACTCAGTAAACAAAGAGTACTTAACAGAGGTGATCAGGAGCAGTACTATATTAAGCAAGAGCCAAAATCTACAGAGTGGAGCCCTGGCCCTGTTGAAGTCAATGGCAAAACTCCCAGTGATTTCAACGGGGCCAGGATTTCACTCACAGCTTTTACTTAGGAAAAAGTCCCACTGAATTTGAACAATGTTAGATATTCTCAAGACAAAAAAAGTTGCTTGATTAGGGTTTCAATCTGCAAAGTCCCGAGCACCCTCAGCTCTGACTGAGATCACTTGAGGCATAATTGT